TGATTGTCATAATTATAACATCGTATTAAAACTTTATTTGGTGGAAACACATTGACCAAGCCCGGATTCTTATTTCATAAATTATTACGCAGATCAAGCTGCAAGCATGGAGGTAAAAAAGAACAGAGGTGTGAATTCGACATTCAACACCAATCACCAAACAATTCAGAAACTTTTAGCCTTCGAAAATGAAAACAGTTAGCAGTGTGTAAGGGCTGTGTAATTTCCTGTTTGTCCGACGCTTTGTTTTCGTGTCACTGTCAAAATTATTGCTACCTTTTACTTAACAGGGACTAAATGGTCTCTAAAAAACAATAATCAGGATCGCAAAAAAAAGTCAACTGATTTGAAACACTTGCCGGACGTCTCTCTCTTCTGAAATCCGCCTCGGTGATCATGGGCTGGTCCGGAATCTATTTCTTTCAAAAGCATTGCGCCAGGTTTACGTTGTCAGCGTTTCTCTTTAAACCTAGTTGTTTTTTTATGGACGAGGACAGTTGAATGAATCTAAGGTTAAGTGATGTCGCACCTTCGGATCGATTAGAAACGTGTGAATACATACACTATGGATATATGTTTCACTGCAACTGCCCACAACACAACATCTAAAAACTTTCTCTCTCTCTCTCAAAAAAAAAAAAAAATAGACGAAAAAAACGCCGACCGAAAAATGTATATCGTTTAAAAGTATACTGAACGACCAGTGTTATTACTGCTCAAGGGTATGACTTCCTCTCACATTTTGTCATTTGGTGGCGCACTTTCGGCGAGAGTCGGAAATCCGGAAACAGTTGACCGTTTCAGAATAGGTGGGCGTGGCTACAACACGAGAAATATCCCAAATTTACTTGCATACGAGTAATCATAAAAAATCAATAACTACCCTTTTCAGTGGGACACAGATCTAAAATGGGAAACGTGAGGGTGGGCATTACACAGGCACTTTAAAACCATTTCATTAAAAGTGCCAAGACGGCATAATTTTTTCTGCCAAAATGTTAGTGTTTGCTTATTATTATTGCAAGGGATTCAAGGGGAGGGGTTGAAGCTGACCGTTAAGTATTTTTTTTCTCAGTTTTTGAGGGTTGAATTTTGTCACCAACTCATACCTTTGACATTATTTGTCCAGAAAATAATGAGTGGTACTATTGCAATGAAGACAGATTTCTTTGAGTTGCCCAATTGAGGAAATTAAAAATATTTATAATCAGAATGCTAATTATTTTAATTGCCTAAAAGTGGTCACTATAGGCAGGTGGTCTTTATATAAAGATGGTCATTAAGACAGGTTTGGCTATATTGCTTTCAAAAATATTCTTACATCTGTTGATTTCAGTTCAAGTGATGTGAAAAGTACAATTATAGAAAGACTGTGTGAAGAGGTAAGATATGCATGGTCTTTATATCATCTGGTGAAATGTGCATACATGTCCCAGGCCTATTTTACACTCAATACTAGGTTTAAGACTAAATTTAACAATCATTGTCAATGACATTGTCCCGTCATGTTTTTAGTGACTTTGTCAAACAATGAAAAGGATTGTCAGATTATGTTTAAATATTGGGATAGTATTTTGCATATTAACTACAAATGTGCATGAAACAGGTATAAAGACGAAGTTGAAAACAAATGGATGTGAATATGCACAATTTTATAGGAATCCAAAAATAATTAAAAACAACATTTATCTTGCCTTTGTATGAAATTTAACCTGAATCTGTACAATCATCTCCGTAAAATGAGCAGAACACTCGTAAAAAACAAAATGGCCACTAGTCCGCCATTTTGAATTGAATGACGAGAAAACAACGATGTGCATCAGTAACCCACTTTGACTGAAATCAATGACATGTGCAAATGGTGATTTTTGGGACAAAACTGGCCGTCAGTCGGTCAAAGGTCAACCAAATAAAAAATAAATCGATGTGCACATGTCTCCCATTATGACATGTTTTTGTACCAGCTTTGAAGAAAATCTGTCCACTCGTCTCTGAGAAATGACTAATAAAACTAAGACAATTACACAATGTGTATTGATCATTCAATGAAACCTACACTGACTGCAATCAACATCTCACTGTTACAAATTGATTGTGAATATATCATCATGACTTAAATTATCCTTATAAGTTTGTATTTACATTTACATTTTCACTAGGCGGAGCAATATTTGGGATGTGCAATGACCTACTCCATATTTGAATGGGCCAAAGAAAATTCAGCTGATCTAATGGCGGAACAAAAAGAAGCAGCTCTTTCAAAAGTAAGTTGGATATTCTCAAATGTGTATTTGCCATTCTATTCCCTGTCGCAGTTCGATCTGCATGTTGTCAATTTTCGTTTTCTTGCAGGGGATGTCCGGGCATACGCCCACCCCAACTTTTTGGCAATCTTCCATGTTACCTGGACGGTAACATTGAGACCGGTAGATGAGTCACATTTAGTATTCATTTCTGACCCGTAATTTACCCGTTTATCATTTAACAGACAGACAGTGACAATGTGACATCGAATACAACACTGCAGCAACCTGAGAAGAAAAAAGAACGAAAAGAACAGTTAACTAAAGCACAAAAAAGAAAAATCACCAACAGGACAGGTTTGTTATTAATTAGTAATGTATTGTTAAAGTTGCACTATAAAATTGGAACAAAAATTCAGATGCATGCTAAAACTATGTATTCCCTGCAATTCACAGTAATTCAGATCATCAACTGTTTAACATAATAGTTCCAAGAGTGCAAGTTCATGTTGGTATGAGAGATTTCATCAACTAGCGATATGCTCAGCACACCACATTATATACAGTACATCTTATAGAGGCACAGCATATTATGTAGAGGCACACCACAGCACATATACAGGCATGGCGCATCATACATAGACACTGCATATCATATAAAAGCACAGCACATCCAGGGCGCAACACTCATTTGCTGACATTTTTGCCAACCAGCATGCAAATGTCACATGTCACATGCCCATTGATGAAGACTCACTTGCAATCTGTGATGACAATGTAATGGTGTCCATTAGTTGTTGGACACGTACCTGTATTTTTAAAACAAGAGCAGTGAACCATGCCATTATTTTATCTTCGGAAGCAAAAACGATTTTTTACCAACCAGTCACTGTGCATCTGCAGCACACCATATGAAAGGCACAGCACATAGACCAAAACGTAGACCAAAAGATATTTTTTGTAAAAATTTGCTAGCAATTTCTCAAAAGTATCGGTAACTGCTTGTTTTAAGTACCCTGTAAAAGTTCACTACGACCAAGTGTCCTTGACTGACAAAAATTCAAGATTGTTTGTTTAACACGAAAGTAAAGCCATTTATAGTGGTTAATAACAATTCATCAAACCTTATTAACCTGCAAGGGACTTGTATCCTTTTGTATTTTTTTCAGATCACAAAGGCGAACTCGCAAGGGGATGGAATTGGGTGGACGTTATCAAGGTGAGTTGATTTTCTAGTTTCACACAAATTGAGAGTTGAACAGTAACTTTCATTTGGAAGGTTGTTTATACATGTACCGTGTATAATCTTGTTTATTGGTAGATCCAGAAGTCTGTGTATTACTGTAAAATACTTTATTTTCTCTTGGAATTTATTTTCGCGGAAGGGATGATTCAGTAAAAATAAACTCCATACAAATCATTAAAAAAGTCAGTCTTTCAGCAAAAATTATTCCAGCTAAAATAAACACAATAACACAATGCTGAGAAATACATATATATGCAATAATGAAAGCACTAACAGTTGTATCGGTACATTTCTCTTTCTTTTCCTTCATTCCTGTTTACCTTGGACCATCATTCCTGTTTACCTTGGACCATCATTTCTGTGAACTTTGGATTGTTGACCATATTTAGCATGTGAGTATTATTGTGTACCGGTATGCAAATCTTATTATTTTTCAGTAAAAAAAAAAAAGACAAAGCAATTTGACTGAAGCTGAATACAAATGTGGGAAGAAAAAAAATTGTTGGGGGTGCAAAAAAAGAAAAAAAAAGTTTGCACAATAGCTGTACAATGTAAAATATTTGCTGAAAAATATATTCTTCTAATATTCTTCTAATTCCAGTTTTCAATTGGGTAACCCCTATTGAGATGCCAGCTTTCTGTAGCCCAAGATGACATGCTGTAAATCGTTTTTCACTGCTAGTTATTTTTGCAATTGCAGATTTTTCGGCAAAATTTCATGATTTTTACTGACTTGTTGAATGGAATAAATTTATGTTGAAAATCTATATGTATTTTACATGGTAATTTACACCTGCCAAGCTTTAATACTAGTTTAATTAAATCGGCACAGTCGTCGCATCTCACGCAAATCATCCTGTAAATAGAAAATATTATTTTACATGCGTTGGGTATAGTATGGGACCAATACCTAACACGATGTGGCACGTTGAATTAAGTCTAGCCTAGATGCCAAAGTAAGGCCACTTTGTACATTTAATACTTTCTCTCAAGGTATACAATAGATAATGTGATATCTTGGCACACAGAATTAACACCTCCACGAACGACTGTATACAAATTGAAATTACATTTCCCATCATGCACTGGTTACAAAATTCATCATTTTCTCCGACTTGCAAAATTCGGCCCACGTGGAATTACAGTACGGTATATTTTCAACTGAAAAGTTGTAAATAAAAAACGATTTGTTGGTGATTGCTTGTTGAGATGCTAAAATAGAATAAAAAAATGTTTTCTCATATTTTAACCAATAATTTTTCGTCTTTTACAGCTTTCAAAAACTGGAGGTAAACCAGATGATAGCTAACATCTTGAGATGCAGATTAAAATTATTTCCCCAATAAAGTGCGTGTCTGTGAGGCAGTTACTAGTGTCCCTAGAATAGAACATGTGACTGACTATCAGCCAATCATCTGGCATGTATCATCAATCCAGTGAAGGACCTACTATCATGTGATGAACAACACTACGTTCTAGACGAAGCTGCAAGGACTAATAACTTAAAACGAGAGACTGAACAAAAATTAGGAAGACCTGTAAACAGGAATATTTACAAGAAATAAAAAAATGCCTTTTATCTATTTTAATGTGATGACTCAATGTTTCACTTCTCACACACTCTGAATGTTATATGATGTTGCCAGCTTGATTTTCATGGTACTGTAAAAGCATTAATTTTCACTGGTTTTAAATTATTTTTACTATTTTGAGTATATTCACTAGGTTTAAAATTCAGATTTTGTATATTGTAATATTATATATTCCTATTGATTTGCTTCAAAAGATTTCACTTATAACAGAAAACCCAATGGTAGAATTAATGCTTTTAAAGTTTTTGTTGTACCTCCTGGTCTGCTTTGCTTTAAACATGTGAGTGCGCCCTCAACCTACATTGTTCTGTTGTTTAATATTTGAAGAAGTTTTTTTTTGTGATTTAAGGTCTGTTGATATTAATATAAGACAAAGCCAGAGTACAAAATTTATTCTGGGATATTAAATCGAATCATAGATAAAATGTAGATGCTGTGGGCTAGGATATTTTATTGCGGGAAAGACTTTATATTCAGATAGGTCAAAGTACAAGGGCTTTAACTGACTTAAAATCCGCCGCTGCAAACCATTTATTCATAAATATATAATTTGGAGGATTTTCTCGTATTTTTGAAGGAATTTAGTGAATCTCGTCAACAATTCTGCATGAAATTTGTAATTGGAACCATGCCCCTATTTTCCAATTGAGAATGTCTGAGAATTTTAATAAGGCTGAGAACAAAAATATCTGTTTCTCGTTTACGTGCCATCATTTTGAACTACTAGTATGCGCCTCAGATGTGTTTTTTTTCCATCTAAAGCATTCCAAAATGCGCTTGTAATCTCACTTTTTCTCAAATTTCCCACATTTTAGCTCAGTATTCAAAAAAAAAAAAATCACCTCGCCTCATTTTAAAATTTCCATGAAACGAGAAACAGAGAATTTTTTTTTCCTGGCCGAATGCAATGTGTGAATGAAGTACATGTGTACGCGAGCATTGATCTTTCAGAATTTGTAGTTATTGTTCTCATGTAATTTGCATATTGAAATTGTGGCAGGTGAATCCTACATGCAAGATATTCATCAAGTTCTGAATGCTCATAATTTTAACTCTCGACATGATGTTCCAACAGGCAGCATGTCTGTTACATAGCTTGTTGGATGTGCTCTGAGTTTGAACCCAGCCTTTGTGGTTCCTGTTTAGCAAACTAAATCTTGTCACATTAACTGTATGAAATCCTACAGCAATTTATGAGAACAAAGGCCTAGAAAAATCTGAAATTGACAATTTATGAGTAAAAAAACTTCTGAAAAGAAGCAAGACTCAAAAGTCAAAGTGTGTAAAGTTCTGCAATGGAACATTCTGATTGATCGAGAAAAACTAGATGGGTTTTCAATTTAGTTAAGGGGTCTTTCACTCCAGACCTTGCCATTATTTTGAAATGACAAAGCAAATAGATAATTAAGTCTGCCTGCTTGGGTTACCTGGCTTATCTACTCAGTCACTGTACATAATGCATTTATTTGAACAGAGCCACATAAATGAAGATATCATACATTGTTTTGTTTTTAAAATAAAAATCTTTTATTACATGTGAAAACTGTACAAACTGGTTACTTATTTATAGGATTCAGTTTTGTTACAAGAAAAAAAAAATTAAAGAAGAATAATTTTGAATGAGTGTAATTTACAAGATTCACTCGGATTAGTTTACAAAGAAAACCAAAATCACCCTTGAATTTAGTTCACAGCAGAGTATATGAAAAAACAAAAGATCACATATATCAACTATGAGGGCACACCACAAATGTCTCCAAAGTCGCCCCTAAAAAACACAAAAGAATAGATATGTTCTTGCCATGAGAGGCGCTCGACAAAGTATGTAGCTAAAATAATATCCTTCTACAAAGGACAATAGATGTATAAATAATTTGCATATAGAGAATGTTTGGCAATATGTAAATTATTTTTGGCTTTATAAAGGCCTCATATTTTAGCAATCTGCAGGTCTGAAATTTCAGATCAGGTCCACACCGAGATCAGTATTGTGATATTTACCGATATACCAGCCAGAAATAAGACTTCGACCATCTTAAAAATCAACCACCTTTATGGGAAACAGTTTTGAAAGACTGTGTACAGTATAGTATGTACTAGTACTATGATTAAATGATTTAGTGCACCAATGTAATCACACAAATAACAAATTACAGTGTTCTTAATTCAAATTCTAGAAAAAAACAAAATCTCTTGATAAGGGAATTTACAGTCCCTGAATATATTAACATCTGTACCGCTGATAAAATATTTGTTCATGAGTGCATCAGATAAGTTTCAGTAATTTAGAACACACAGCGGATTAGTAAAATATCTTGGATTTCTATCGACTCTCCACAATAAATTCGTTTTTACTAATTTTTTTAATCTGGAGCCGCATTTAAAAAATGACGTGAATAATCAGGTGAGAACACACATTTCTTCACACTGTGCATTCAACCAATCACAAAACTGGAAATATATCACACACAAAATAGCAAATTAATATTTTTCAATAGGATATAAATTCATTCCATGTGTTCAGAACCCAAGTAGAATCACTATGCTTTAAATACAAAAGCAATATTTATGATGTGAAATTTATCATAAGGGGTAGATTAATAAGGGCTCGCAACATCCTTTGTTCCTGGATTCATTTTCTGTAAAACATGTTATTTTAGCTAATTTAGCTGAATTTAATTTTGTTAATTCAATGTAGCTAATTTTAATAAAAGAAAGTAGATTTTCACATTTTCACTTTAGCTAAGTTGGCTAACTAAAACTCGTAATTGTGTAAAATTTGCTTAAATCTCAAATATTTGAATAAATTATAAGACATAAATTAATATTTAACAGAAATATTTAAATTAAGTATTGAGGAATCGTGCATTAATTTAAAAGGATTTGCAAGCCCCTATTCATGTACCCTTACATCCTGTCTGTTCTGACATTTAAAATGCCTATACTTTGGATCAGCATGTGATGGTTTCCACAAAAATGTAATAAACGAAAAATTACTCAGACATTATATTCTATAGTTTGTGACAGGGCTGCACCGACTGCCGCATCCCCGCCTTGACAGTAGACAACCGGCAATTTCCAGAGGTTTTCAATCTCTGTCTGTAATATCTTATTTCGAGTCAAGGCACTTCCACATCCAATTATTTGCTGGACACCAGATTCGACGAGTAACTCTCGGGGCATCATCTCGTAAAGGTTAGTGATAATGCCGCGGCACACGGCACGACCGAGATGACCCAGAGTGAGGTTTTCAGCTGTGATGTTCATAACTGATGCACGTTGATTTGGTATGTGTCGCTCCCCGAATATTGTGGGTGAGACCACCAAGTCACAGTCGTTGATTTCTTGAGCGGCGGATAATATTTTGTTGTAGATGTCCTGCTGGGGGATTCCGTGCCCAAGTTCATGTGTCCACTGTTGTAACATTTTCACCATGGTGGCGAGAACATTCCCGCCTGTGAGGGCAGCAGCCACAGCTAAGTAGCAATCGTGAAAGTACGGGAAGTACTCAACTGCAGTGCCAGATTCAGATGTTAGCGGAGGAATGAATTTCTTTGACATAGCAAACGACAACTGTGCAGAAGTACTGATGTTGAGAACTGAAAAAGAAAAGTAAACAAAAAAATCAGTATTCACTCTGAAATTCATTAGTTCTGAAATTTTGTTGAATAATTGAGTATTTTTGACAAAAAAACATATTTTCCTTTATTTTTAAAGAGCATTATTGCACACTTCCAAACATCTGTAAACGAGTAGCAATAACAAGTTCCAATCCAATACAAAAGTTTTTAAAAACATTTACATTCTGGTAAGAAATTGTTTAATTCTGATTTTGTTAACACACCAAACATATGCAAACATTATGCAAAACTTATGTAAATACTATGCTAAATATGTACAGGGTTATTTATAAACTGAAATTTTTATAGCATAAACGGCAAAACATGTCAAAACTAAAATTTAATTAATAGGATACCCTTTCAATGACCAGGAAAAACTAAGCTTAATCCAGATATAGTTGAACTATAAAATGATTGACAATCAGGAAATATTAATTCCCCGAAATCAATATAGGCTAATGTTCGGATTATGCGATACTCCAGCAACAAAAAGCTTATGATCACAGGTTTAATACTAAAATAGTGATATGTTTTTAAATTCAAAATGGACTCCTGAGATTTAAGCTATAAAAAAAAATGGAAAACTAAACAAAAAAAAAAGTTACTATGACTACAACCCATCTTACTCATTCAATGCATACATACATGCGAGTATGAGTCCTCAAAAATGCAAAACATATATTCAAATTTCAAATATCCTGCAGCTTATTTTCCTGTAGATTCTCCCAATCAAAAGAATTCATGACAAAATGTTTTTTTCTTTTACAATTAATTAATTAAATAATTATTATTATTAACTTTTTACATTAAACAATTTTAGTTTCACCATTATTCATTTTTGCAATGCGAGAGACTTCATAAGGACGAAATAGTCACTGTGACTCCCTAGCACTCCAGTGATGGCCACTGTGACTCCCTAAGATGTCAACAGAAGTCGATGACTTCCAGTGAAAGTCAGTAACTCCTTAGGATCTCAGTGAAAGTTGCTCTGACTCCCTAGTACTCTAATAAAAGTCATCTTGACTCCCAGATAAACTAATCACTGCTACAAAATTTCACAACTTTCCCTGACATTATTTGTTCAACCCAAAATGATTCAAATAGAAATTAAATCAAACAGAACTTTCACTCTCATTTTTAAATTGTAACAAGAGCAATTAAATGATGGTTGAGAACAAGGTGCTCAAACAGAATGGTTTGTGATGGGAAAACAACACCAAATACGAAAGATGTTAACTCATACGTTTCATCAAGAAAGCAATTTAAATGATAATGACCAAATTTACAGGTTCAACTTTATTACCCTACAAAAACGACTTTTCACATTTTCCAGTATATTTTATTCAGACTTTTTTGGATAAAATTTGAAAAAAAAAACATTCATACTTTTTAATGTTTTAAAACTTTTTGGAATCAAAATCCTCAAAACAGACAGAACTTATTATAGTCGCTCCATTTTGTACATCGATTTTCTCCAAACTGAGTATGGTGACCCTCAATTTTTTTTTTATATTATTTTCTTTATACCCGTGACATGACATGAAATGTAACACATGTAAAAATAAGGGAAATTACTATTGTGTAGCTTTCGGCCCTAACGGCTGTTTGTCATGTGTATTTTGTCAGCACACTGTAACTATACAAGGCATAAAACAGATGTCCTGTGTTTTTGCGTCCCACAGCAGTGACACCAAATATATTCAGCAATTTTGCAAGTATATTGATGGAGCAAATATTTTTTTTTAGTCCTGGCCATAAAATAATGTATTCCTGATTTTTGTTTTAATTAGAAACATTCGCAGACGATAAAATACCATGCAAATTGTTTTTGTTACTTGACTAGAATCAGATGTTTAGACGCTAAAATCAGATAAAGAACCTCACCTGCATCCGTCTCGCTCTGCAGGCTCGGTAGAATGGAACACTGCATATCGCCAAGAGCTATTCCGACAGGTACCCCCTGTGGGATTCCATACCAATTATATTCTAAATTCCCGGCATTACTACCAGGAGTCTTGACTTCCGGGAGGAGCTTTACTGGAAAACCAGCTTCTGAAAGTCTAAACACAGAAAAAATGGGCTGTCAGTTATAAAATGTCACAAAATCGATACTACTACTACTACTACTACTACTACACAAGGTCATTATGATTAAAACACTTGACATATTTGAAAGCATTTTTTTGAAAGCATTTTTTCCCACAGGGACTGTGACTCTTCTATTTTTGTCTCTATTACTGAAATGGACAGCATAAAGAAAGAAGCCTTGCAGATTTTTAAATACAATCTTTCTGCAAGACCAATTTTTTAAAATCCCAGACTAATTAATTAATGCACCCATATGCAGCCAGTCACTTCACTCAAAGAAGCCATTTTTTACTTACTTGACATTTACTGCCTTCACAGACTAAAACAAAACTCTACATGTCTTGACTCGTTTGAGAATCAGCTTTCCTTACATCTTACTTTTAGTGTAGAATTTATTTTTCTGTAGGTGAGGCATTATTTTGTTCAACTTCTCAACATGAAGTCGGTCACATCCCTTGACAGTTTGAATATTAGCCTGGACAAGTGTTAGCATAATTTTAAATTTTTGACAAACTGTGTTGTGTAGATCAAGAATCTTTTATTTTTATTTTATTTTCTCTTCATGTGTATCAAGGATAACTGTGGAAAACGAAACGACCAAATATACTCACATACTCTGCGAAGTAGACAAGAAGGAGATTTCATGTGAGAAAACGTTAGTGTAGCGCAGACTGTTAAAACTGAAAATCATTGTGTTTATTAGGAGAATCATATAAAAAAAATTAAAAATGTTTTCTTGTTTTTTCTCATATCAGAAAAGGTCATGTTTAAATTTTTATCTAAGTATTAACTGTGGGATATAGACTTATAATTTTCTCAAAATACAAGGTGTGTGACAACTGCTGTATATTATTGTGTATATTATTTATTATATATTTTCTGGTGAAATAAAACAAACTTAAAACTTGAAACTTGCTAATAGATTATATTAGAATAACTTTTCAAGAGTACAAAAAATGAGAAAATCTCAATATTTTTGTATAAAATATCCTTAAATGCCAATATATTGAGTGATTATTTACAAAATGATATTCACCATAATGTTATATAAACAGTACATCAATACGATCTGGAAGAGCCATAATCAAAACATATAGACACTACATCATTCTCCTAGGAACATCCAATTCGACTTTTGTGTAAACCAAACCGATTAATTTATAGAATATATGGGAGCCATATTAAACACGATGTGGAGCAACGACCACCAGTTACATATATCGTTGATAAAATATAACCATGTTTGCTGTGTTGCCAACTGAATCAACCCAGTACTGCGTCAGCATTATTCCCAAGCATCCAAGCATAGCCTATGACAACATTACAATGAATTCAAAATATCCGTTTTAATTTGTCGAAACATATTCAGGAAGTCTCTCATTAGATGATGATAAACTAGAATTTCAAACCTTAATCTATATCAGTTATTTTAAAATATGCCGAGTCAGCACAGCGAGTCGTAAACGGATATCGTCTGTATTACCCATCAAGCAATCACAATTTCACTGTATGAGCATTCAAGCGTTAAACGTTAAGTGCCCACGTTCAATCATTCGCTATATTTCTTCCAGAAATAAACACTTTTCAATTGTCAAGTACGTGCTTTCATTGACGCACAAGCCTATCCAAAAAATCAAAGACAATATGTACCTAACATGTTTGCGGGTCAA